TAGTTTTTAAGGGCTTCTTACATTAAGGATAGTAACCCCTTGCTTTTCATATACTTTGCAATTTTTTTTCTTAGTTTGCTTTGACATTTTGTCTATGGTATTTTCTTTTTTTTTTTGAGTTGGAATCTCACTCTGTCACCTAGGCGAATTACAGGATTGCAGGCTGAGCCACCAGCAGTGACATGCTCCCGGCCACCACGGCCTTGACCTGCTGGGCTCCGGCGATTCTTCTGCCTCAGCCTTCCAAGTAGCTGAAACTACAGGCGCATGCTACCACACCTGGCTAATTTTTGATTTATTGTAGAGATGAGGTCTCGCCAAGTTGCCCAGGTAGGTCTCGAACCCTGTGGACTCTGGCAATCCACTTGCCTCGGCCTCCCAAAATGCTGGGATTACAGGCTGAGCTACCGAACCTAGCTGATATTTTTCTTATTATTCATGAAGTTTAAAATTTATTTATGGTTTTATCCATTATTCTCTTTATGACTTCTGGGTTTAATATAACCCTTTGATTAAAGGTCTCTTTAATATTCAACTATATGGTAAGTTTATGACTTTATTTAAAAATATATGTGCCTTTAGTGCCTGTGTCAATCATTTGGTGTAAAATGTGATTTAGAGATTCTAGTTTTTCTCCCAACTATTTAGTCATTTGTCCAAACCTTATTTATTCTTTTTTTTTTTTTTTTTTGAGTTGGGGTCTCACTCTGTCACCCAGACTGGAGTGCGGTGGCCGCTCCTGGCCACCGCAGCCTCGACCTGCTGGGCTCTGGCGATCCTTCCGCCTCAGCCTTCCAAGTAGATGGAACTACAGGCGTATGCTACCATGCCCGGCTAATTTTTTGATTTATTGTAGAGATGAGGTCTTGCCAAGTTGCCCAGGCGGGTCTCGAGCCCGCGGACTCACGCAATCCACTCACCTTAGCCTCCCAAAGCACAGGATTACAGGCTGAACCACCGAGCCCAGCTGTTCTTTATTTATCTTCTTATTCACAGATTTAAAGTGCTGTTACTATTATATCTTAAGTTTTTGATGTGTACTTTAATCTGTCCCTGGGCTTTCTGTTCTGCCCTTGGGGCCACCTGTCTAGTTAGGTCAGTGTTCTGCACCTTTAATAACTGTGGTAGTAACAGTGAAAGGTCTTGTTACTCCACTTTTTTTTTTTTTTTGAAAAAATGTTTGGGTTATTTTTTTTTCTTTAAGATGAATTTTAGAAATTTTAACAAACTGAAAGCTTTCTGAGATTTTATTAGGAATTATATTAAAACTATAGAGTAGGCTGAAGGTGATAGACATCTTTGCAATATTAAATGTTCCTGTGGCAAGTCAGAGAGTATGATTCATTCAATAATGACTTATTTTATATTTCTTAGTAAGAATTTGCAGTTAATTCATATACATATCTCTTTATGTTTATTTAAACCCAACTTTATTCTTAGATTATTTATGTGGATGTATATATATGTGTGTGTGCATGCATGCATATATATCTCCATATGCATTATGCTATATATATGTTGACATGTTTTATATATTTAAAAGTGTGTGTATAAGAAACAAAGAACTGAGTATCACATGTTCTCACTCTTAAACAGACCTTGAACAATTATCATCATATATAAGAAAAGGATTGGCAGTAGTAGGAAACTGCCGAGAGGTTGGCAGGGAAGTGGGATTAGCAGTAGTGGGAGTCTGCCTGCTGAAGGCAGGCACACTTCATCGACAAGGGTACCTGCATATTAACATTTATATACCTAACCCTGAATTGTACCCCACATCATTAAAATAAAAAAATTAAAAGTTACAAAAAAAAGATGTGTGTGTGTGTATGTGTATGTGTATATATATATATATATATATATATACTTACATTTGTACATATATAAAGTTTGTTGTTGTTAATAGAAACTTTTTGCCTCAGATTATTTCTAGATGATTTTTGCTGATGCACATAGAAATGTATTTTATTTTTGTATATTTATCTTGTAACTAGCCACCTTACTTGACTGTTATTATTTCTGTTTACATTTTATTTATTTATCAAATAAGATAATTTTTTTATTATAAAGATGTGGAGTACAATTCAGGGTTAGGTATACAAATGTTGATTATGCCGGTAAACTTATTATTTCTGAATGTTTTCCATTGGCTTCTTTTATATTCTTTTGATAATTTCATACATACATGGGAAGAACAGAACATTGTCTAAGCAAATGTGCAGTTTTTGCATAGACCAAAAAAAAAAAAAAATGAAAGAAGTAGGGAGTTCTTTTTCTAGAATGTGGCAAAAACTGGATGTGAAAGAGAGTTGTTTCTTTTATACTAGGCTACCAGAAGGTGGGGTAGATAGTGGATCTATTATGACCCTATTCAAACATTTGTGTGCTATCTCTTGCTGCCAATTAAAATAGGAGAGGCAGAGGCTGCAGTGCAGTGGCACACTCACGGCCACCGCAGCCTCAACCTGCTAGGCTCAGGTGATCCTTCCACTTCAGCCTTTCAAGCAGCTGGGACTACAGGCATGTGCCACCATTCCTGGCTAAATTTTTTAGATTTATTGTAGAGACAAGGTCTCACCAAGTTGCGTGGACTGGTCTCGAACCCATGGGCTCAGGCAGTCCTCTCACCTTAGTCTCCCAAAGTTCTGGGATTGTAGACGTATTTAATTTCTATAACCAGGTTAAAGGGAGAAAGGTCGGTATCATTGCCAAAAATAAACCAAAACCAAAACCAAAACCGTCTCAAAGCAACACAAATTCATTCCAGTATTTATACCCAAAATTCATAGCTCTTCACCTGCCCCGAGTTAGAAGCCTATGTGTAGTTTTAGCATGACTCAAGATTTACATGAATGATTTTGATTTGTGACCACTGACCTGGCACAAAATCTCCTGGTCATGTTGATATTTTAGACAAAATTTTGGCATTTATAATACGTTATTTTATAGTTTTTTAGAGGAAGATACAGACAACTGCAATATTTGGACAGAAGGAAAACATAATTGTGACAATCTTTTATTCCCAGAGCCCTTGCCTACAATAGTCTGATGTCCCTATATTCACAGATGGAGGGGAGATGAGCAGTGCCTACTCCAAGCTTTCAGACACATTCTTGTCAGCCTTGGCCCACTCTCCTAGTCATTAGGTGGTCTGGCTTGCCTGACTGTTTCTTCTTTAGCACCAGCAATGGCTACTAGATAACATTGGCAGTCGGGCAAGGCCATGCTGGGGGGAGGGGCTAATAGGAAAAATGTGGACTTTTGAATCCAAGTGGCTTTTACCTTTAGCCCAACCCAGCTACAAAAGAATGCAAGCTTTTAAGTCTTTTCTATATGAATGTTCTAATATAACCAAAATGGCCTCTTTTCAACCTATAACCTCTTCATCCATTCTCTACAGTTTCACTGTGTGTGATGCTTGTTGTATAGTTGTGCTAACAAATATTTGGCATCTCGGAAAAGAACCTGGATTCACAGTATTGAACAAACTATAGTTTTCATGATTAGCTTCGAAATTTGTGCATCATAGTATTTCAGTCACCTGTAACTGTGTTCTTTATATGGATTCAGTTTTCCCTGTGTTTAAATTTTTGTTGTTGTTTCATGATATAAGGGGTAAAGCTAAATTCTGAAAGTAACCATGAACCTGTGATTGAGGAATCTCAGAATTACTGGTATCCCTGGAGAAATACTGGTAGCCCTAACTAGGAATGTTAGGACTTTAAGTTAGGGAGAAGAAATTCACCATCTTTTTCATTTAGTTGAAGATTTTTATTCTTTTGCCAGCTCCTTAGAAGGAAACCCTTGACTGGGCTGGGTGGCTCATGCCTGTAATCCCACCACTTTGGGATTGCTTGAGCCTAGGAGTTTGAGACCAGACTGGGCAACATAGTGAGATCTTGTCACTATAAAAATAAAAAATAAGCTGGGTGTGGTGGTGAGTACCTGTAGTCCCAGTTACTTGGGAGGCTGAAGTGGAAGGATAGCCTGAGCCCAGGAGGTTGAGGCTGTGGTGAACCATGATCATCATATCATGCCACTCCACTCCAGACAGGGTGACAGAGTGAGACCCCAACTCAAAAAAAAAAAAAAGGAAGTCTCATTGGCTCTTATTGACAGGTTAAGCCAGCTGAATGGGATCCTCAGCTTTAATGTCACCTCAAGTCCATCCCTGTTTCCCTACTCTCTGTTCCTTTCTCCACTCCTCTGTTAGCTTGCAGCCCTGCTTAAGTGTCTTGTCCTCATTGCACAAGGGCTTTCCATACTGTATTACGGTTCAGAGGCAGTCACCAGAGATGCAGGAGTACCCATGCATTGAAGTTGCTGCTGTGATCTCTCATCTGGTTTAGGAACTCATTAAATTCCTGTTGTGACCCCAGTGAAGCTTAAACCTCGACATTGTGTCCAAGCTGGGAATGTTCCCTGCCTGCAGCTCTGTTCCATGAAATATGCCCACGCTGCCCAGCCCTCGTGAGCATGCCATCTTTGTCTAACTTAACACAAAGCCTCTCTTCAACCTATAATTATGTTCACTCACTTAACATATCATTGCTGCACTCCAAAAATCCCAATTTCTCTGTGTGTGCAATCTTTTAACATGGCTTAAAAGTCTCATTCAAAGGGGTATATATTTTCTAGCTGAAACTTTTGGTATAAAAACTATTTTAGGTTGTATGAGTCTAACTTTTTCTTAAAACTTTAGAAAAGTAGTGATTGAAAATTGTTATACTTTTAAGGTGTATTGTTTCTGAAAAGAAAAGCAATATAAGAACGAAGCATAATCATAGGTGACAAGCTTATGCTTGTATGAGTGTACTGAGTTTAAATTCTGTGTTTCTTCATTACCATTTACAGTGTTGATTTAAAGAATTAAAAATATCTTAAGTGTATAAAAGGATACAAAAGAGAAGCTTCTAGCAGACAAGAGGTGTGGGGGTGTGCTTCACTGCACACTGTTGGTGAGGTTATGGGTCCCCACAGTGACATTTGTGTGTGACGACATGAACGAATGTGGACCTGACGGAGAGGGTGGTGATAGGCTTCCTGGGTGAGTCTGTCAGGGGCCATGTGGGTGTGATCAGGGCTCCCCATCCTGAGAAATCAGGTGCTGTCCAACAGAAGGTGATTGGATGACAGAACCTGCTTTATCAAGATGGGTATCTGTGGTACTCCTTGTCTAGATGTCATGTAATTTTTTCACTTTTTGACTTCTATTCCAGTCCCAGTTTGAGCACATATGGAAGTGACCTACATGTTTTACTACTGAGGCTTGAATTGGGGTATCTTTGCTACTGTTTCCATAGGAACAAAGACATAATTGTGTGGCAAGGAGTGTGGCTGTCACCACCCGGTCACCAGAGTCTTTCAGTGAGTGTGAGCTACAGCTTCCTGACTCCTACATCTCTGCTGACTCCCTTCCTAGACCCCCTACTGATGTTAGACCTTGAAAGAACCCAGGGCAACTGCGTAGGGCCTTCCTGAAACAGTGGCCACATGACACACTGTCACAGAGCCCAGAGGCACCTGGAGGAGGAGAATTGCTCATGGCCTGCTGCAGAGTGGCATCTCAGCTTTTAGTGTTTTTCACCTTGTAGACTAGTTGGGCCTTCCATGGAGAATTTGATGTGTGTACCCTAAATTTGTCTTTTAAGGTAGGGTGACCATATGTTCCAGTTTTCCCAGGGTAGTCCTTCCTGGGTTATATATATCTTTGTCCTGGCATAATTATTAATCTGTCTCTTTTTGTTCCCAGAAATGTCTTGGTTTGGATGATATATTATATTGCTGTTCAGTTGTTAAGCCTTGGTACTTGCTACTGTCTGTCTAGACTTGTGCCCTGTTCTGCTGTCTTGGCCTCCAGGTTCCTTCAGAAGAGCTTGTTGTCTCCAACAATTAGCTCAGTTAGAGATGGACTGGGAGATTATGATTTCAGAGAATGTGGACTTTAGAACCAGAAAGGACTTCTAGTTCAACCATTTTTAACAAGGAAGTGAGTGACTAGAACTCATATAGAACAAATGATTCCTCTAGTGGGCCAATGTATGTCTTCTCTAGTAGTCTTCCTCACAGTCCGTTGTCCTGTTACTCATGTTATCTGGTTCTTAACAATTACTTTGCTTGATTAGGCCAGCCCCAAACTTTCCTGATCAGAATTGCTCTAAAGAAAGCACATGGTTCTTTGTTTAAAGGAAGGGATTAGAGTTATTTCCAAAAAACTGGAAGATGCTTACCCTTCTTGGTTAGTAACTTTTCTAGGCATTAGGGAATCTTGGTAAGTCCCTTTCTAATTACTAGGACCCTTGTCTTCTCCATGATGAGCTTCCCCGTAGTAGAAGACAAACTTTTGAGAGTTCTGACCACTTGGCTATGCAGGTACCTCCTTATGTTGCTGAATCTCAAACTCATGGACTCCAATAGATATATAGACATACAAAACCCTCCTGAGGCAAATTTCTCTGTGTCTGAATTTCCAGTGCCTAAATAGAATGGCAACTCTGTTTGCATTAAGTGCTGATGATTATGAAATTCTTCGAGCATGAATTTCTAGAATATTTATTTGTGGTAAATCCTGAAATTGAAATAGTTTAGACAGTGTTTTGGTAACAAGCTTGCATTCTGAGCCTTGCTACTGTGTTATCTCTTCCCCACTTGCTGGTCTCAGGCAGGCTGAGCAACTCTTGCAGGCGACCCTGTCCCAGTCATGCGAGAAGGATCTCAGTTGCATCCGTTCATCTCCTGGTATGCCATCTGGAGCCTGAGGCTTCCAGGGTGGCCATGGGAGAGAGAGCTTGGGTGATCCTGTAGGGATCTGGATGGTCCTGCTAGAGGGGCAGACTTTGCTTCCTTCATCTCATTAGCTATAATCCAGTCTCTTGGCCCAACCTCACTGCTGGAGAGGCTGGTCTTCCCATACGAAGGGAGAGAGGAAACAGCATTTGGCGGTGACACTGTGTTATTTCTGCTGTAGTTCCCTTTGTTGGCCCGATTCTTAGCTCGTCTGTAGTGTTTAATTGTCTTGCCATTCTCCTGCTTCTACAGCTCAGCATCTCAAAGGGCTTGTCCTTATTATTCACATTTTGAGTCAAAGCCACAGTTGTTCTGATTTTGGAGTTGCTGTTCTTCTCATGGCTTTGGGGATGCACGTTCACCCGGAATGTTTCCGCTCTTCTGTCTCTTCCATCCATCTGGGACTTCCACTCTGCATTTTTCCATTTATGTCTCTTTCAGCAGATGCTCATGTGAGAAGCTCAGAAGTAGCCACAGGTTATAGCTTTTCTGCAACTTGAATGATTGAAAAAAGGAACTCATTTGAGAACTTAGTGCCTTTTGTCAGTCCCCACAACTTATTAGACTCTTTGGAACCCAACACCCAGTCGGCTGGTCAGCAAAGTAAAATGCCGATTCACGTGTGGGTCTACCACTGCTGAACAGATGTGTGTTAATAGTTCAGAACCTTCTGTTCTCAACAGGAAGTTCTGTTGGGGAACCACAGAGAGCAGGATGGAGGAAAGGACTGAAAAGCACCTGCCACAGGGACTGCAGACAACCCACCTATGGGTGAACCTATTCTTGCATGGCTGGTGGGGCTGAGGACTCTGTTGCATGGTATGCTCTTTGGTTCCTCTTGCTCAAGGTTATGGCCATTCTCAAAGATCCCATTTCAACATCACTCCAAGACTTTCACAATATATTAGATTACATTCCATGATCTTAATTCACTTTCAAGGAGATTGCAAGTGATACTTTAGAGTGAGATGACCCACTTTGCACATTTGCACTGATTTGGTTTAGTTTTCATATCAGAGAATTACATTCTTTCTCTTATTTTCCAGCACATGATATAAGCCTGGCATACAGCAGATGCTTACTCAGCAAACATTGACAAGGGCCTACTACACACTAGGCATTGTGCCAGCTGCTCGGGACACTGACGAGTGGTGGGAGAGTTTCCAGGACAGGCTGGCTGAGCAGGCAGGAGGACAGGGTGGAGCCAAGGGGACATAAGCTGTTCACAGGAGGTGGGGAGTGGACTGGCATGGCAACTGGGCATATGGCGTTATGCTGTCTCAGTGTCTGTCACAGGCTTCCTGAATAGTAGCTGGTTTTCTTCTTTAAGATTCTAAAACACCGGAGATACTAGAAATAGATATGTCTGTGGGGAAAAGAGGCCCTTTAAAAGGGGGAAATTGGATGATTAAAGTGACCATTGTCAAATGTGGCACTTCATGATTAGAATGCTGTTATCTGCCCCTGTAATTACAAGCAAAAGTAGTGACCTAAAATAACTTTGTTTCTAAATCCTAATTCTAGGAATTGTGTGGTTGGAAAGTGTGACAGTAGTGAATGGCCTGTAAAGAGATGTGGTCTGTATGTAGCAAGATAGAGCCTGTGCTGGGTTGGGGGGTTGCAGGAGCACTTAGAGGATGGTCCCTGCGGCCCATGTGTGGCTTCTTGGTGCTGGGAGGTGTGGTTAACCAGCAGCACCATGATCTGCACTTGCCAGGCATGCCCTTGCACATGAAATTGAGTGCTGTCATGACTCTTACTGCAACCCAACTTTTTATTTTTATTTATTTTATTTTTAAGTGTTATTTACTTATTTATATTTTTTTTGAGTCAGGGTCTCACTCTGTTACCCAGGCTGGAGTGCAGTGGCATGATCACAATGATCACGGCTCACGGCAGCCTCAACCTCCTGGGCCCAGGTAATCCTTCCACCTCAATATCCCAAGTAGCTGGGACTATAGGCATATGCCACCATGGTTGGCTATTTTTTTTTTTTTTTTTGGTAGAGATGAGGTTTTGCTGTGTTGTCCAGGTTGATCTTGAACTTCTGGGCTCAAGCAATCCTCTGCCTCTGCCTCCCAAAGTGCTGGGATTATAGGCATGAACCACTGTGCCCTGCCAACTCAGCCATGACTTATTTTAGGAGTGATCTCATCAGTGGATGCACACTTAATTCATGACTTTAGTGGAGCACATCTGAGGCGAAAGTGTCAGCATTGGAAGCCCATCTTTGGCACACACAGGCACTCAAGCTGGATATGCTGAGGCCATCACCCTGCTGGCTGTTGCTGGGCACCCCTCCAGCCCTCCTTGTGAGAGCATTTGTAGGTGTCATATACAGCTCTGGGCATGCTGCATAGTCGTTGAGTCTACCCATTCTTCAGCCAGAAAAGAGGTATCAGGGCTTCCTAACAAGAAGTTTGTTGCCAGGCTCGGTGGCTCAGCCTGTAATCCCATGCTTTGGGAGGCTGAGATGAGTGAATTGCCTGAACCTGCGGGTTTGAGATCCGCCTGGGCAACTTGGCGAGACCTCATCTCTACAATAAATTAAAAAAAAAATTAGCCGGCCTGTAGTTCCAGCTACTTGGAAGGCTGAGGCGGAAGGATCGCTGGAGCCCAGCAGGTGGAGGCTGTGGTGGCTGGGAGCGGCCACTGCACTCCAGTCTGGGTGACGGAGTGAGACTCCAACTCAAAAAAGGAAAAAAAAAAAGTTTTTTATCTGTGAAACAGCCAGAATAACTCAGTTGTTCTGCGATTAGGCAGAATTGTGTGATTGGAGTGGAGGGCAGGAGGGACTCGAGGAATCTGTGTTTCAGCCTTCATTCTGCATAGGAGGGAAGGAAAGCATCATCACCTCAGGGCACATGCTGGACAGGACTCCTGCTCCTGTGCTCAAGGTGGTGTTGGGACCAAGTGAGTGAGTACCTTCCAGGGTAACACTGGTCAGGGTTCCTATGCACTTACTCAGTTTACCCAGTACTATGTACAGTGTATACTAAGAAACTCAGTACACTCAGGATTCTGACCTGGGTACTGCCTGTGTGTTCTCTTTTACCCTCACAGTGTCCTGTGAGGCCACATTTTTGACCCTCTCTACTGACACATGAGGTGGGGTCTAGCCCATTATTGCACCGCTTCTGAGGGGCAGAGCATGGCTGCAAACCTTGTTCTGTCTGGGTTTCTGAACCTTTCTTTTGTACCAAGGTGACACACTGTGACCCACAGGCCATATCTAGCTATACTTGTCTTTGTGCAAACTGTAAGCTAAGAGTGATTTTTTTTACATTGTTTTAATAGTTGAAAAAAATCAAAAGAAGGTTAATATTTTATGATGTGTGAAAATCATGTGAAATTCAAACTTCAGTGTCCATAAAGTTTTATCGGACTATCCCATGCTCACTTGATGCTGCTTTTGCGATGCAATGGCAAGGCTGTGGAGTTGCTTGTAGCAGAGACCACATGGCCCTCAAAACCTAAGTATCTACTGTCTGGCCTTTATAGAAAACACTGGCCATCTTGATCCATTCTCTTCCTCAATGATGACATTTTATGATATTCCAGGTATATGGAACACAGTTGTGGGATTTCCATAGGTCTATCTCCCGGTTCTTGCCCCTGGGTTTTTTCCATATTAATGAACATGTCAATCAGATGCTGAGCAGTGTGCAAAAGAGGAGTCTGCCCTTAAATTGTCTATGCCTGGTCTCTTATGAATCGTGTTTGAGACTCTTGGGGATAACTGACTTGCTGTGGACTACTGCTATTGTGGTTTGCATGACCTTCATGTTCATTTATTGCGCTGAGTTATTTGAAGCCTCCAAGTTTAAAAACATCTTTTTCTAAGCTGCAGAAATCACTCTATTTTCTTTCCTTTGTAGTGGTTTGTTGTCTTCTGATTATGTGGAGATTCACTACGAAAATGGGAAACCACAGTACTCTAAGGTACGGTGACTAGCGTCGGAAATCCTGTCGTGTAAGTGTACTTATCTTAGACCTGACCAGGGCACACTGCGATATTTTGATGTCTCTCAATAAAACCACCTGTCCTTATATATGATGGTACTTTTGGTGAGGAGAAATGCATTACAACATGTAAATTTTGGAGATAACATTAGAGAGTTTATCTATTCAGGACAGTAATGAATTGTGTGCTGACTTGGTTATATGCACGTACCTTATGTAATGATGTAAAGAACTATACAACTCTATGTAAGCACCTTAAACAGGAGACAGAGAAGGGCAGGCTCCTGGCCTTGCACTCTGATCGGGAAGCCTGGATGGGCAGATAGAATGACTGTACAAGTAACTCTAAGGAAAAGATTCCCAGCCACAATTGGAATATATTCTTGATAATTGCTATAATTCTGAGAATGGGATTTTCTGGGTCAGAGAGTTGGTATAATTTGCTAAGACTTCTGGTACATATTCAAAATTTTTGTTTCTGGAAGTTTATATTTTGGAGACAGCCAGAATAGCTAAGTTGGGAGAGCATTAGACTGAAAGTTTGTATCAGTTCATACTCCTACCACCATTATATACATATTTTTAAAAATGTAACAGAGTATCAGAAAAGGAAATTAATATGTAAGAATGGCAGTTTAAACTTGTTTTTGCACATTATGCAGCCTTTCTTCTAAAGATCTCCAACTATTTAGACAAAGCATTGGAACATAAAGGTCATTGGGTTCTTAATTTCTTTTAGGTGGAGATTGACTTCAGGAGGATCAATAAGGATCTTCCATGATCCTTACTGATGGATTTAAATTAAAGCAGGAGAGGGATTACCTGTATGTGAGAAACACAGTGATCTCTGTTAGTCTTGGTGAAAATTCTTGGAATGCCTGCACAAGAAACTCTTACTTTTAGGGAGTCCACAAGTTGTCATTGTGACCAGGTGGCATCCCCGGATACCAAGGGTCTGGGAGATGAAACAGGGAAACAAAGTGGGAAATACCACTGCCTTTGGATTTTTCCTCTAGATGGCTAATAAGTGTCAATATTAAAGTAGCACCTTCCGTGTGTGGGCTCACTGGGTTGTACATTGTAGAGACTTGAAATTCCAGCCAGATAGCCTTTTGACAGACATCTGTAGGTGGCCTTCATTGTAACACTGCCCTGGAGGCCACATGTTTCTCGGTATTCATCACTGTCCCATTACCAGCAGACACACTCATAATTCCATGTGTTTTTCAGTCTTTGAATCTCATACCACAGATTAAGGACTTTCACCCTTGTTCTCAATGGTCGTCAGTTCTGCCTCAGATTGCATCTTGGAGTTGTGGAGTTTCCCTAAAAGTTAGTGCTGTGGCAAGTGAGCAGAAATGCTAAATCATGCATGGAGCGTGCTTCCTGGCACCGGTACAAACAAAAGCTTTTGTCATCTGGGTCAGGTCTGAGTCCTGTGGATGCTGAGTCAGGAGCCAGAGTGAATGTGGCTGCAGGAAACTTTATAGACTCAGCACCCAGCCACTTTGCAGGATGCAGAAACTCGATCTGGACTCTGCACCAAGAAGCACCGGTTGTTTTGTGAAGAACCAGGAGGTCATTTGAGGTCCCCACAGAAGGCCTTATCATTAATAATACACTCCAAACCTCACATCAGTGGTAACTAAAATTGAGAACTGATGACATTTCAGTGCTGGCAAGGGAAGTGTTCACTGCAGTTTGTTCTGTGTTCTCTGCTTTTCTCTCACTTATGACCCATTTTCTCCAAACAACTGGTTTCCCTGAACTCACTTGCTTCCGAGACAGTGGATTATCTGTCAGTTTTTATGTGTCTGTGTTATTATGTGTACATCTAAAAACCCAAGGTGGTTTGGCAGGCCCTGTCTTGTAGCAGGATTTTGAAAATCCAAATATTATACATATTTTAGCATGTATTAAATAATCTTGTAAACCTTTAATTTAAAAAACATCATTTCTCATTCATTTGTTATAAATTGTTTAAAAATCTCATAGTAAGAGACATTTAAATTGTTTTCATTTTTTTTTTTTTGCTATACAGATAACTCTAAGGAAAGGGCTTCCAGATACAATTTGAATACATTCTTGATAATTGCTAAGGATTAATTCTGAGATTGGCATTTTCTAGATCAAAGACTTAGTATAATTTGCTAAGGCTTCTGGTACATAGTAACAATTTTTCTTTTTGAAAGTTTGTGTCAGTTCACACTCCCACTACCATTACATACATATTTAAAAAAAATTTTTAAATAAACTTCATGAAAATTGTCTCCATGCTATTTAAGAAAATCTTTGTACAGAGTACCAGCAAAAGAAATTAACACGTAAGAATGGCTAAGTCAAACTTGTTTTTATACATTATGCCGCCTTTCTTCTAAAGATCTCAAACAATTTAGACAAGAGCACATGCACACCACGTACACACACACACACACACACACACACACACACACACACACACACAATTTGCATGATTAGAGAAGAATAACCTATTTGGCGATGCAATTGAATATAAATGTGGACATTGGCACTATTCCAGGAATTAATTGCAAGCAAAATGATGAATCCCACTTTGAAAAGAGAGTGTCTGGGTCATCCTACCTTATCACTATCAGGCTCACCCTCATTCCCAATTTTTGTCAAGAAGAGGTTCATGTCTGGGTTTTTAGTTCTACTGGATAGATTAAAAGGGCTTCTTTCTATGTGAAGCAGATACAGGAACCAGAGAAGTAAAAAAATTAAGTCATATGGATATTGGGATCAGTTGATGCCTAAAGAAGAGCTTTTGCTCTACACCCCATGGGGCAGTAGCTTTTGTTAGTTTCTGCCAGTGTTTTGCACACAGGACACAATAAAACAACTTGGTACTTTTTTTTATTTTTTATTTTTTTACTAATTTTAAAAGTAACTTATTTATTTTTCTCTTTTCTTCTGTTTAAACAGATTTACCAAAACATAATTTGCATACAATTAAATTGTTTTTAGTTTACTTACAGAATTGTGCATCCATCAGCATAATCTAATTTTAGGACATTTTCATTACCCCATGAAAAAACCCCCACCTATTGTCTCTGCCTGGTTGGTGAGTCTGCCTGACTCAAAGGTATAGCATTACAGACCTGTTGGACTCTCAACCAGTCCTCTCCTCTAATATAGCACTATCAGAAGTGGAGGTGATGTTTTGATGTTTCACTCCTGTTTCTCTCTGTTATTTGGTTTTAAACTTGGGTGGGCATCACTTGACATCCACTCGGATGGCTGTAATTAAAAAGATAGACAATAGCAAATGTTGATGGGAGTGTGGAGAAATTGGAGCCCTTGTGCACTGCTGGTGGAAATGTAAAATGGTGTGGCTGTAAAACAGTTTGTCAGTTCCTCAGAAAGTGCAGCATAGGGTCACCACATGACTCAAATTCTACTCCTGCATATGTATCCAAGTGAATTAAAAGCATATGTCCACACAAAAATGTGTACATAAATGTTTGCAGCAGCATTATTTATAGTAGCCAAAAAGTAGAAACAACCCAAATTTCCTTCATTTGGGGGAATGAATAAAGAAAATATGGTATATTCACATAGTGAAATTATTCAGCTATAAAAAGAAATGAAGTACTAATACATGGTACAACGTAGGTAAATCTTGGAAACATCATGCTGAATGGAAGAAGCTAGACAAAAGGGAGCACTTGTCATATGATTCTGTTTATTTGAAATGTCCAGAACAGGAAAATTCATAGAGATGGAAATTAGGTGAGTGACTGCCAGGGGTGACTGGAGCGAAGAAGGGGATAGATGGGGAATGACTGCTGATAGGCATGGGATTTTTTTGGGGGGGTGTGATGAAAATATTCTGGAATTAGATAGTGGTGATGGCTGCACAGTTCTTTGAATATACTAAAAGACACTGAATTGTATCTTTTAAAAGGGTAAATTTTATGATTTGTGAATTATGTCTCAAAATAAAAAAATCAGGTGGGAAATGGGAGTACATTTACTCATTTTCTTCATCAAATAAGAATCCTTAATGAAAGGTCTTGACATTTAAGCTCATGAATAAGTTATTCCTTCTCATTCATTAAAAGTGATATGGGTTCACTTAGCATAGGGTCCTACATATTCATTCATGTTGTTACAAATGGCAGGGTTTCCTTTTTAAAGGCTGAATAACATTTCTCTCTCTCTGTGTGTGTGTCTGTATAGCAATCATACCAGACACAGAAAGAAAAATATTACATGATCTCACATAAATGGAGAATCTAAAATAGTTGAATACATATAAACAGAATAGTGGTTACCAGGGGCAGGAGGTGGTGGTAGTGATGGGAAGGAGAGATGTAGATCAAAAGGTATAAAGTTGTAGTAATATAGGGGTAATAAGTACAAAGTTGCAGTAATATGGGGTAATAAGTCTAGAGATGAGTGAGGTAGGATATAAATCTAGAGGTGAGTGATGTAGGATATAAGCCTAGAGGTGAATGATGTGGGATGTAAGTCTAGAGATGAGGGATGTAGGATGTAAGTCTAGAGATGCATGATGTAGAATGAATAAGTCTAGGAGATGAGTGATGTAGGATGTAAGCCTAGGGGTGAATGATGTAGGATGTCAGTCTAGAGATGAGTGATGCAGGATGTAATTCTAGACATGAGTGATGTGGGATATAAGTTTAGAGATGAGTGACATAGGATGTATATCTAGAGATGAGAGATGTAGGATGTAAGTCTAGAGATGAGTGACATAGAATGTAAGTCTAGAGATGAGTGACACAGGATATATATCTAGAGATGAGTGGTATAGGATGTAAGTCTAGAGATGAATGATATAGAATGAAAAAATCTAGGAGATGGGTGATGTAGGATATAAGCCTAGAGGTGAATGATGTGGGATGTAAGTCTAGAGATGAGAGATGTAGGATGTAAGTCTAGAGATGCATGATGTAGAATGAATAAGTCTAGGAGATGAGTGATGCAGGATGTAAGCC